CAGGTGAAGCAGCAAGTTGCTGTTTCCTCCTGAATTCTGGAGAGTTTATCCTGCTCCCCATTCCCATCTTCCACATCAGGGGGCTGAGCACCCTGAGGATAACAGGCCTGACTATTAAAGGCAGATGTGAAGAAGGCATGGAGAATCTCAGCCTTTTTCTCATCCTCAGGAACAACATTCCCCACCACATTAAAAAAAAAAAAAAAAAAAGAAAAAAAAAAAACAAAAAAACATAAGATTCTCCTTGGCCCTCCTCCTGCTGTTAATATATTTCTTGTGAAACATTTTTTTATCATCTTTAACAATGGTGGTCAGATTAAGCTCTTGCTGGGCTTCAGTTTTTCCGATTTTCACTCCACATACCTAGCAACAACATAGTACTCTTCTTGAGATGCCTGACCCTTCTTTCAAAGATGGCAAAGATGTCTTTTTTTTCCCCAGGCTCTCAGCAAAAGCTTCCCATTCAGCCAGGACAATTTTCCTCTATGCTGGCTCAGCTACGGCACAGGGGGACAGGCCCATTACTGCGCCTTTAAGATTTTCTTCCTGAAGAATGTCCAGTCTTCCTGGACATCTCTGCCCTTCAGGACCAACTCCCAAGGGATTCTCCCAACCAGCATCCTGAAGAGTTTAAAGCCCTCCCGAAGCCCCAAGCAGCAGCTTTGGTGACCCCCCCTCCCCCCCCCCCGCCTTTTGACTTCACCAAGAAGAGAACTCAATCATATTGTGCTCATTATGCCTAGGGCGGCTTCTGACCACACCTCCCACTCGTCCTTCTCTGTAAACAGCAGGTCTCACAGGGCACTTCCCCGATAGGCTTTCTTACCAGCTGTGTCAGGAAATATTTTTTACACAGTTCATGATCCTCCTAAACTGCTTCCACTGGGCTGTACCACATTTCCAGCAAATATTAAGTAAGTTGAAGTCCTTTGCAAGAACAAGCGCTACCGACTGCGTCTGCCAGCTGCCTCTGTAACAAATGCTCACTGGGATGTCAGCCTTGCTGCCCTTCCCCCAATCCTTACCCACAAGGACTTGATATTATTCCCAGCATTAAGTTCTACAACATCAAAACACTCACGAACACAAAAATCCAATCCACTGCACCTCCTTCCTTGCCTATCCCTCCTACAGCGCTTACAACCCTCCACTGCAGCACTCCAGTCCCAGCAATGTTCCCATCGTGTTTCAGTGATGGTGACTAAGTCATACTTTTCCTGCTGCACAGTGGCTTCTAGCTTCATTTGTTTGTTATCCATGCTGTGTGCACTGGTGTAGATGCACTTCAGCTGGGCTGTCAGTCTCACTTTAGTTCTGCCATGCTGCCCCTAGGTTCATCTCTAGCAAGCCTGATTTTATCCCCTTTCCCCTTCAAACCTAGCTTAAAGCCCTCTCAGTGAGCCACACTAACTGCTGGGCTAGGATCCTTTTTCTCCTTTGATTCAAGTAGACCCCATCTATTATCAGTAGGCCTGGTTCTGAATAAACTAACCTATGATTTAAAAAAAAAAAAAACCAAACAACAAACAACAACAAAAAAAAGCCAACAAAACCGTGATGGCACCATCCTAGATATACATATACATACATATATATAGATACTCAGCTAAATAAACATACACATGTGCACATCTATATGCATCCATTTGGAAATCATTTGTTGCTGAGTTTAAGGAATTGTGCACTGGAGTGATCAGCAACTGAAAGTATCACAACAAAACATAAAAATAAACAGAACATGAATGGGGAATGGCAGAACAGGGGCTTGTGTCTACTGAGATCAGTGGGAAGCAGTGGGACTAGCAGCACTTTTGCAATGGGATGCACCACCACCGCTTCCAGTGGAACAAACAGAAATGCAGGCGCTGTCTTTATCTACAATACCACTCACATCAAGACCTACACATAAGAAACAAACTTATCACTTGCTTCTGTAGAGAAAAACACTTGTTCTCCATAAAAAGCATATTACCCAGCTCTAGAGTAACATCCATTACTTATCTCCCAACAGTAGGACAGCAAAGCAAAGCAAAGCAAAACTTGGGCTCATAGGCCAACTTAGGCTGAGAGAGACCTCTGGGGACCTCTACCTCCACCTTCTGAGAGCAGGGCCAGCTGTGTTCATGCCATATTGCTCGGGACTCTACCCAACTGAATCTTCAAAGCTCCTAAGGACAGGACTGCACAATGGGCAGGAGAGCTTCTCTGGACGATCCACTGTACTGTCTGACTGCCCTTACAAGAAGGTTCCTGCTGCCCCAGGGAACATCTCATTTTTTCAATTTACGATCTGCCCTTTTTGTCTCAAGGTAACCTTAACCTGGACCTCAATATGATATAAAACCTTTCTAATAATGCACAATCAATGAATATAAAGATGTTTTAATTATGAAATAAATAAGAGAGTTTGGCAAAGCAGATTACAATAACAAAAAGAAGATAGATAGAACGTTTACCCCTATCCCGGGCTCACTGCAAAACTCAGAGGACAGATCTCCAGAAGTGATCCTTTCCCACTGGTAGCCAGCCCTTAAATGGGTCTAGGAGAGGTGCAGCCAGGCTCCACTCCTTCCGGCAGCACAGGTGAATTGTTGAATTGCCTTCAGCTGTGCTCCCAGGGCTGACTCACAGCTCACCTCAGGTGATCAATCAGAGGTTCAGGCTGTAACTCAGCAGCTCCCATACAAATAACAAAAAAAGAAACCCCACCAAAAAAACAGAAAGACAAACCAAAATATGCTGGGCACATGGTAGATAACTTAATTTCGTACATCTCATCATCACGTAATTTTACAAACTTTTCTGTGAATTTTTCTACTAACTGGAAAGAAAATCAAATAGAAGAAGGATCTCTAATCCCTACCCAACAAGCACATTTATATCCCAAATTACCACAGCTGACACAGGTGGTTCTTGGCATTGTCTGAGACAACCACACACTTTCTACTTCTGCTCCTAGCTGCTGCCACAGCCTGACAGCTCTGTGTCTGAGCCCCATGGACAGCAAAACTGCAAGATCTCTGAACTCACTGCACCTGAACTTGCTTACATGGTTCTATGTAATGGAAAATCCATTCTTCTCTAAGTTTAAAACTCTTGATGATAAGCACAATAACGTACTTAACACATAATTATTCACAGGACAGAAGTACTACAATAATTGTTAAAGAATCTGTTATATAAAAATGCAAAAAATTTAGAAATTTTATTCTACATAGTCTTGGAAACATTCAAGGAACATTCCTTGAATATTTCCAAGCTTGCATAAAGGGAGTGTGCCCATAAATATTGCTGCTATTTTGAGTATGATGCTCTTACTATTAAATGGGAAAAGCTGCTTATGCTTACTCTATTCTGCTACTTAAAAATAAGACAAATTTATTTTTGCTGTCTTTAACACATAAAAGGGTATGCTCCAAAGTCAGCAATGCGTGTAGAGCTTTAAGCAGCAGGATGAAGCGGCCTTGCACAGCTTATGAAATAACTTATCTCAATCTTGCTAACCTCAAGAGGCAGGACAAGCCTAAGACAAAGTTGTCTTCCAGGTGGAATGGGCCCATCTTGGGTCGGGTCTAGGCCTTGTCCCATGTAACCACTTCCTCAGTGACCAAAATGAGGGCACATATGCAGATGACACCAACACAGTGCAACAGTCTGTGTGCGCAGAGGTGGTGGGATTGCTACTCAAAGGGACCCTAATGATGTTACAGCAGGAGGGCAGCCAGCAAATGGAAGAAAGTGATCATCCCTCTTTACTCAGCACCTGTTAGATTCTATCTGGAACATGGCACCCAGATTTGGACCCCCCAACACAGTACACACCGATAACCCTGCCTGAATTCAGCCCAAAACCAGCAGGCTGGCCTGGCAGGAGCACAGGTGCTGTGAGAGGTAACTGCGGGAATGGGGCTTGCTCGGCTCGAGAACCAAAGAGAGGGATGAGAGGCAACAAACACTGAAACAAGAGAGGTTCAGACTGCACGTAAGGCTGTTCGTATCCTCACGAGGACGGTCCCGCACTGCTACAGGTCTCCCCGAGAAGCGGCACGACCTCCGCCCACAGAGAGCCTTGCGATCGCACAGGCTCAGGCCCAGGCGGGGCGGCAGCCCGGCATGGCCCTCCTGAGGCCCCAGCCGACCCGCGTTGCCTGACCGCGCCGGAGCTTCGTAGAACCGTCCGTCGGCTTCCCCGGGCCGTACCGTTCTCCCACACTTCCCCTTAGCTCTCAGGCCCGCCGTTCGCCGTCTCGGCTCCCGATGTGCTAACGGCCCCTGGCTCTCCCCCCCCTCAACAGGCGCTATCCCCTGCTCCCCCCGCGCCGGCCGCGCTACCTTGATCTCGCTGTCGAGCAGGCGGGTGCGCTGCACGATCTCCTCCGTAGACATCTTCAGCACCTCCTCGCCAACGCCATCCTGCGGGGCACAACGGCACCGTCAGCCCCGACCCCCGGCCCGGCCCCGCCCCCCCCGGCCCGGCCCGGCCCGGCCCGCACCTCCGACTCATCCCACACCGACGCCATCTTTCTCTCAGCGAGCGCGCGGCGCGCGGCCGATTCCTCACGGCGGATCCGGCTCTCCCGCCGCCAGACGCGGGGCGCACAGCAGAGCGGCAGCGGCGACGGCCGTAGGGGGTTCGCGCCCCACCCCGTTCCCGCCGCGACTCCGGTCCTGCTGCCTGCTGCGCGGCACCTCCCGTGCCGAATCTGCGGTCGGGAAGACAGCGGCCGCCGCGCCGGTCACGTGCTCCGGCCAAATCTGCTGCGTGATGGCTCCGCCGCCATCTTGGTGGGGGCGGTGCCATCGCGAGCGCCGCTCCCCCTCCCCGCGCCTGCCCGCCCGCCCTCACGCGCGGCAGACGGGCTGGTGGCGGCGGCAGCGTTTATTCTGGTCAGCGCGCGTACAGAGGTGCGCGAAGAGAGGCGCCCCGATGCGGTTACACCGAGGACGCCCCGAGGACCCGCCCCGCCGCCCCCAGCAGGAGGCACCGCGGTTCCCGTGCTCGGCGGCGTCCGCGATCACACGTATCCGGGTTTCACCGACAGCCGGCGGCAGTTGGGGCAGCCCCGCGTCCCGTTGGTCTGCAGGCACCTGCAAAAGAAGGCGGGCGGGTGGCAGGGGGTTCCGCCGCCCCCGGTGCCAGTGCTGCCTCTGAGCACGGGCCACACGGGCGGGCACGCAGCCGGCCCGGACACCCACGAGATCTGTCATACAGTGGTTTGGTGGAAGCGCTGCAGCACGTTCCTCCACAAGAGGAAGCTGCGTTGCTCTCCTTTCCTGCTAGGGACAGCAGCCCCCATGGACTCTGGGGGCAGTCCCGTACTGGTGTAGTGTCATCCTGATGGTATGTTCTTAAATACTTAAGTTTTGGAACTAAAAATAAGACAATGTCCATTGTGACAGTAACACAGTAATGGACTGAACGCCTTACTCAGCTTTGTACTCCTCACCTACCAGAGTGAAATGGAGGGGTTCAGGGAAAAAAGCCAAACCGCTTGTGGGAGCATAGATCTCCCAAAAGGTAGTAACAGATAATCTGTGAACTGAGCTAAGTGCCTACAAGGCAAGGGAGTGAAGTGGACGTTACAACTAAATCTCACCCTCTAAAGGCTATGGCTAATGAAATCGTGTAGAACACCTGGGGAAAAGCATACACAGCTGTCTTGTTCTGAGCATGAACTGCTCCTTACTCTAACATAAGGGCAAAGATCTCCGGTATTTCCAGCTCATTACTTTAAGTGGAAGAAGTGGGAGCAAGGCAGCGCCTGCAGCTGGTTGTTCTTCTCCCCAATAGATTCTCCACACATGCCACAGTACAGCTCCATCTCCTCCACGCATTCATGGAACTTCACTACATGGTCACGCAATTCTCGCTGCTGCCCCTTTGTGCGATAGATCCTTTCACACAGACAGTGGAGCTTCAGCAGACCAAGCTGCACATGAGAGGCAGAAACAAGAAAAATGAACAAGGTGAAGATAGAGCACTAGCAAAGGGACAGGACCACTATGGCCCCAATTAGTCAGCTAGAGAAGTGACAGCATAAAAGGGTGCCCAAGGGATAGGATCGGTCATAAGGACATTTGGTTCCCTCTGCCTGCAACCAGCACTCAGTTCAGCCGTGGCACAGGCCAGAAGTATTCTTCAAGAGGAGACTCCTAATCCTTCAGCTCTGCAGTTGCTTCACATTGCGTTTTTAATGCTCCCCATTTCTCCCTGTTTATCCCACTGTAATCCCTTCCTCACTTCTCAGACCTGCAAGTTGATGCTTATAACTAAACACAACAAAGCATCATCAGTTGGTTAATATAGACTCATTAGTAAGCAATAACAAGTCTGGATGCTGTAATGCTTGGAATATTAAATCGCTTGACAGAAGACTAGAGAAAGTAATGAAGAGAAGCTATAGGGTCCTACCTTGTTCCCTAGTCCCTCTGCCAGTTCCTGTGCCTTTTCAATGCTTTCCAGAGCCTGTAAATGGAGAGCATATATTACCAATTCTCAGTCTGATGTAACAAAAATGTACACGTATAGAATACTCTGACAGGAACTGAAAGAAGAGATACAGTGTGAAATTTGAATGAACAAACATCCCTGCAACCATGAACACATGGCTGTCTGGTAGATATATCCCACCAAAAGTCCATTCAGAAGAAAAGCTTTGTTTCTGAAAAAAAAAAAAAAAAAAAACAACAACAAAACAACCCACACAGACATAACCATCATTTCTGTTCCAGCCACGTCATGCAAAGAAGGGCTATGACGCTGGCAGAGGCTGGGGTTTCTAAGCAGAGAGAATACATTCATTTAAAATCAATCACACAGTCTTCATGATTGGGATGGAGCATAAGTAAAGCGAATCTTGTCCCCCATCCTGCTTTACAGGCCCAATCTCTTTGAGCAACTCCAATTTCATTTTTACAAGAGGAAGGGATGAGCACTACTAACGGGCTTTTCCATTTTCTTGCTCTTCATGCATCCACTTTGTCCTACTTACATATAGCACACTGTAGAAGTGTACTGCGAGTAATCTTTTCAGTTTGAAGTGTTTAGTATGGCAACTGACATATCAAATGAATCTATACTTTCCCCTACATGTCAGAGCGTTCCACGCTGTTCTGATACTCTGTAGTTCTGGGAAATGGAGACTAAGACCCACTTCAGGTTTATTGAGGGGGAAGAAGACATTTGCCTTTAACCACAATATTGATGAGGAACCTTATCAAATTTCCACACTGGAATAGTAGGTGATGCCAAGTTATAAGAGTTGAGAACCATCTGAGATGAAAGAGTGCACTCTGAATACAGAGGAGAGGGCATTATATCTGTGGCAGCAACAGCCTAGGATAAGGGACTTGCAGAGGAAGTAGGCAGGAATCAATGGGTAGCAGATAAAATATTACTGAGCGGTGTGCCTAGGAAGTGTGACTGTATACTGGAAAACTTGAAAGTAATTACTAGGATTAAGAAAGTGAAGCATATGAAGTGGAAGGAAGAGATGCTTGAGAAGTTCAGGGGACAGTCTTTCTAAGAGAGGAACACGAGACTGCACGAGCGTTTGGGCAAATAGGCTGTGACAGCAGCTGGAAGGAATTGGGATAGACACAGTATTAACTACATGCAATGAAAGAATAGTGGGACTGTCTGAGGAAATTGCCCCAAGAAGGCCAGGATAAGAATAGGGAATCTGCAAGTGGAAAGCTTTCTTAAGTAACTGATACTGGGATGGAGCAGCATGAGAAATGGAAACTGAGGAATAGCCGTGGGCAATCGTTCAGTGCTTTGACATTTGAGGAGGTCATGTTTGGGGTGATGGGAATAAAGTCCCTGACCATTAGGACAGATTTGCCTCTAACACTTAGTGCAGAAACCAAAACACATTCCCTTCTTTAACGGATACCGGTGAGATTAGGGCTCTCTGCAAAGTCCTTGCCAGGGTTTCACAGAGATCTGCCTGTAGTATCAGAGCATGGCAGTGGCTGAAGGTGGGATGAGGGAGAGCAGGGATTAGATGAGTGCTCTGAATATTTTTTTGTTTAGCGGCCTACCTGCATCCTGTCCCATATTTTTGAATATGATATATGAAAGATACATGATATATGAGGTTTCATTAGGCAAAGTTTTTAAGTCCAGTTTCTTCCAATGCAAACAGTTTTTACTTAGTAAGATTGCAATGTGTGTTTTACCCAATTGATTTCCCTCTGTAGGGAACTCAGATGCTGATTGCACTTTGAGCGTGTTTTTTTCTGACAGGTACATGCTTGTTTTCCTTCTGAGAAGCTTCATTTTACCTCATATACTTTGTTCTCTCTCGTTATTGATAAGAGTGAAACTTCAGGTATCTACACCCAAAATGGCACCCCAGCGTGTCACTATGTAGACATTCCAGGTCCTTCAGCACTGAAGACTAACTTTTGAGCATTTTCTTCTCCAGCCCACTAACAGTGGGATCTGCTGCATCTAGTACAGTCTGGATTTTAAGACATATACACCACCTAAGCACTTTCAAAACAGTGAACTTCATCCTCTTATACTATATTGACCCGCTGTCTGTTCTCAAATCCTTTTCTGCTCATTTCTCTGCTTCACGTCATGATTTATACACCTCTAGTTTCTCCAGGAATTTATGGTCATATTTGTCTGCAAAGCACATGGTGGAGCTGTAGGGCTGTCTAAAAATGATCACAGTAATAAGCTTAGTCATACTGCTAGAGAGTAGGCAGCGGAATCTATTTTAGAGAATAAGCTGATTGCCTTCAGTGGCAGAAGCAGACTTCCTTTCCTCAATGCTGCTTTCTCAGTGTAGTGTTTAAAGTCATCAGGACTGACTAATGAGACGGTTCTGTAGGTCACCAGCCTGACTCAGAATGGATGTTCATATTGTTAGCAACTAATTCCTGGCTTAGAGGAACCATCTGGAGAAATACGATTACACAAGCAGAAGACTGCTGGTAGAAAAAGGGGGACAGTTCTCTATGCATCTGATGGGCATTCAGCTCAGAAAATGACAGCTCTCATCTCATCTGAAAGACTTATGCAGAAACAAGTTTGTTACTGACCTTGTCCAGCTCCTTCTGGATCATCCAGCACTTAGCCACTCCTAGCAGCACCTGGATCTGACCCAGGCGGTTTCCAATCTCTGTCATGATGCTCATGGCAGAATCATACCGGGGAAAGGCTGTCTGCAGTGGCAGGAAGGAAAACACATGTTTTGCTATGACCCGCTTTTCACACCGTCTTCCCATCCCCTCTGTCTTTCATGGTAGCTGTACCTGAACATCTCTGCGACTGCGATGGATATCAGCAAAGCACAGCAGACACAGTGCCTGCAGAGGCCGGTCACCATGCTGAAGGGCAATCTTCATGGACTCCTGAAAGAAATTAGGTCTTTGGTCAGTAAGGGAGAACAAACAGAGCGGGGCTGTATGCTCCAGACACTGAAGGGTCAACTCTGGAGAAATGGCGCAGCATTTTTAGTTAGTTTAAAGTGCAGTCTTGTTCATGTTCCTAACTAGACGACATTCATAGGCTCAAATTTTGAGGCACACACTGCTACTAAAACCAGAGCTCTAAGACTGGGAGACAGTGGGAATATCTAGTCAGGTGTGAAAGTCATGGCTTCCCTTTCCTCCCAGCCCTGTCCTGTAGGTAAGATCCCACTGCAGAGACCTCTGCCAGCTCTGTGTCTGCTTGCACCCTTGTACCTCACAGCAGTCCATAGCGTCTGCCAAGCGCCCCAGCTTCCGGTAGGCCACTGCCATGTGATACTGGCTCATTGCACGGTACTTCAAGCTCCAGCCTGCTCCATAGTCATTCACCAGCTCTGCTGCTTTACATGGGAAGAACAAAGCTTTCTCATAGTCCTGTAAGGCAGACAGACAGTAGTGACAGCAAAAGACCGAAAAAGAAAAAAAAAAAAAAAAAAGGGACAAAAGCAACTATTTTTGATTTACTAATGCTGCAACAGCTAGCAGATTTTTGTACGCCTTTCTTCCCCTGCCTGTCCTCTTCCACGTGCCCTGCTTTCTCTATTGATGTGAATATCAAACTGTGGAAGGTGGAATTGCCATGTGCTGAATTCATATTGCTCTCTATTTTCAGGACACGTGAGAAATGACACAGCATATGAATTTTATATAGTACACCAACAGCCATATGCTGCCAGAATCATTTGTTCTCTTCTGTAGCTGAAGCCTGAAAACTGTCTCTGGTTTTATGTTATCTTTGCTTTCAGCGTATACATGGAGCCCTCATGTTTTTCATGTGGAAAGTCAGGATCTCTCAGAGGCTGGTTATTCAGCCCTGCAGGAAGCAGGAACAACATAATAATGGCCTCAGCAAATCCACGGTAACTAGTTAAAACACACATGCAAAAAAAATATATATATAAATATACACATCTTTCTGCATTAAGAAAGTTTAGAAATAAACCTTGTTTTATGATAAGTACATAAAAGTATTAAAGATATCTAAACCATTCTCAAGTGAGATACTTCAGTTAGCGAGTCTTCCGTTAGTGACAAAAATCAAGACTTTTTCAAGAAGGGAGATGATTTGTTGCATTTATAATGGAAGTTAGAACTGCAAATCACTTCACCCTCAATTCCTGCCTGGTTTTGTACATACAAATAACTATTTGCCTGCAACAGTAGTTGAACTAGAACCCTTTGAGTTCTGCCTGCTTGCAGATACTGCCTCCTCTGATGTGATCTTTGAAGCTAAGTTTAATCTTTTCAATTCACAGCTGCTTCTGCTGAACTACATAAGCATTCCACCAATCCTTACTACAAAGAGGAGTATTCTCTGATGATTTTACAGTGTAGATATTTAAATTTGGAACATTCTGCCAGCACTTCACTTCCTACAGCAGATATAAGTTGAAATTCACAGTGCTTTCCATTATGAGACAATTGCCCTCCCATCCTCCCCCCCCTTGGATTACTGCACCTTTATCTGGGCATAGAAGTTCCCAAGGCTACAGCAGACTCGACACTCCAGCATCTTGTCGTCATTGTTGTGTGCATAGCGTAAAGCTTTTTCAAAGCACTCCAAAGCCTTCTGGAAAATGCTGAGGCCCAGGAAGGCATTGCCCATGCTGAGGCTCACCTGGCCATTCAGCTGCGGGCTCACAGTAGTACCCTGCATGTTCAAGCATGTCTTACAGTAAGATATTGTTTTCTGGAATTCACAGAGTTTCTCATTGCTGCGAGCCAGGTTTAGATAGCCCTCTGTAAGGTAATTTGGGTCTTCCAGCTCCCGTGCTGTGTCAATCTGTACCACTGCGAACTTCAAGTAGAAAAGACCGTGTTTATAAAAGGCATGTAATTTACTTAAATACAGCTCAAACACTCACAGAGTAGCACCCTGCACTGGAGAAGTGGCACATCCCTGAGCAGGGCAGCATGGATCACATGGCACTGTATACAACAAGCAATTAATTATCTGCAGGTTTACACAAAAGCAGTCTATGCATGTGAACAGTCTGAAGAAACCTCTTTCTCAGCCTCTTGGACATGGACACTGAGCTGGCAGTTAGTGGAAGAAAAATGTTAAGTGATCCTAAAGAGAAGCAGGAGAGGCAGAAAACCTCTGGCATCTTCACTTTCTTCTGCTCACATAATTAATTCTGCTTTCTCTAGAAGGCTTGATATTGAAGTACTCAAAGAAACTAAGTAAGCTATTTCATCAATTTTATACTAAAAATTATAGTCTAGTATTGTTTTTGTTTTTTTTTTCTATGATTCCCTGCTTCCAGTTCTAGTAAATTTTAAGTCTGTTTTCTTTTAGACCTCACGCTCTTCTGAGCAGAGATTCTCTTCTGTGCTCGGTGATGAACCAAGCACACTGCTGCCTTGAATTAACATTCATAACAAAGGTAAATATTCAGCAATTTTCTCTATATGTGTTTTCATTAAAGCAGTCAGATTCACAGATAACAATTCCTAAAGGCACTATCTGTTTCATTTTTGCACATTGGCAATACATAATGATTTAATCCGCTAGAACATGTTATGTATTCCACAAAGTAGAAACCAATACAACTGCTTATGCTTGGGTGTATATGTCCACCCTCTCCTTAGCATTTCAAGAAAGCTGCCATGTGGACTCATTAGCACGTGTTAGCTTATTCTTTCCTGCATTCCCTTACCTTTATGTAAGTTCTTCATTACTTCTCGATTGCCACAGCCTGATTCCATGGTGTGAAGCAATTTTTCTCTCCGAGAGACTGAGCATAACAACTCTTCTTAAATCACAGTTAATTTCGTGTGTTTAATTCAAAGACCCCTTTTTCCCCATTATTTCCTCTCTCAGTGATTAATATTAATGTTTTCCATCCTCTATCTTTGATAACTTGCAGTAAAATACTCAGTTTGAATGAAGCTGTTTGTTTTTCCTAATACTAAGAGGAACTAAAATTCATCTAGTCTGAGCTCTTCTTCTGTTCTCTTCAGGGGTAACAAATTATGGTTTGAGTATCTTGGGTTCACTCATTTGCCTGTTTCCCAGGTAGCTATACCTTACCTTTTTGGATTCTCTCTTCCCTAATCAATCTGTTTTTTCTGCCACCACCTATCCCACAGCGTTTCTCAGAACTTCTCATCTTCAGATGTTTTCCATGTGTGTTAATACCTTTTTTTCCTTCATGCTAATTATCTGCTTTGTAGATGAGGTTTTGACATGTGCACAGGTTCACTCATAAGATGACCCCACCACTTCTAAACAGAGCTACCAGGAATTTTTCAATGAGATATGGCACCCCCTTCACTTTTTGTTCTACATGCTGAATGATTACTAGTTTAGTAAGAGGCGGTCAAAAACATTAGAACACCAAGGCCCTTTAGTAAGACCCTATTTTAGGCTGGGATAGCTACTTAAGACTGTTAATACACTGTCCTGTCTTCCAGATTCCTCAGTCAGTCTCCCAGACACTGTCTGCTACTGTATGTATGCATCCTGTGACTTCTCAGATCCATTCATCAGCTTCTTCTTATTCACTTCATCAATGTGTTTATCCTCATGCATTTCTGTATGCAGCTTCAGCTTCTTTTTGCCACTCTTTGATCAAGTCTTATATCCTTTCTCCAATGCTTCACAACTGGGAGCCTCTCTCTGACCTCAATTGTCAGACTCCTCCTTGAACATCTTTCAACATCCACCCCCTACTCCCCAAAAAGAATCTCTGTTCCCCTCTTAATCAGTCCCTTTGCAAACAATTGTAATAAAAATGTCAGATCTGTGACAGATACCAAGCAGTTGAACAAGATAACAGACATTTCCTCACAAGACTGCTGCTTATTCTATAGAATCTACTTGAAGATCTCTATTTACTCTGAGGTACATGCTGAAAACAGTTTTTGCTGTAGTAAATGTTCTGTTTTCATACCTTTCTCTGAAGCTTCATCACAGGGCGTGCTTGTATGAGGAATAAATCAAGAAAGGTCCCCATGATTACCTAGAGAACCTCATTAACCTAGGAATCCTAAAGGATGAGGCCCAATAAGAATTTGTACTCTGTGTATCTTGTAAGCTGGAGCTATCAACACAGCGATTAAGGCAGCTCACAACATGCTCCCAATAGCTAGCACATGTTACTATATGCAACATAAAAGCCCTGATTTTACATTCTTATCTCCAGCCACACTCTGTAGTGGGTGTAACACAATGGCATGCATTCATCTCCAGTTTGCCTTACCTTCAGCATATCTTTGTATCTGCCCATCTCTGCATGAGCAGTGATGAGGCAACCCAAAACGCGAAACCTGCCAGCAGGATCCGCAGACTTCTCCAAAACCCTCATCCAGACTTGCAGAGCCTTTTCAGTCTGATTAGACTGGTAGAGATGGAGTCCTTTTTCTATCTGTTGCTTTGTCTGGTCCTGACCCATCTCCCATGCATTAAAAAGCCTCATGTACTAATCTCTAAATGCAGCAAAAATGAAGAGCCTGAGAGAACACAACATAAAATGCCCTAATACAGGAGGGCAGGTTGTGTGCTCAGAAAGCTTGGAGCTATAAAAACCCAGCCATGCCAGGCAGCTGGAGCTGTGGAAGGCAATGGCAAGAAATGGTTGTTTGGCAATGAAGGCAGAATCCCAAATCCACTAAACGAATGTCTTGCTCGCTAAGACTACATCAGTGCATTCGCCTGTCCAACCCCATCAACAAAGACGAAAAGCACAACAGGGGGAGAAAGAGAAAAATCTCAAGTGACTGGAGTGAAACTCAATCTGAGCAGCCACTGCTAGGCATCTCCATTGGTTGCAGCTGTTCCTGCCAATCTGGCTCACGTGGCTCCCAGGAATGCTGGTCAGGCTTCCAGCCTCCAAGGTCAGGGTGAGCCAACTGCCCACCCCAGCCTGCCAGAATGCAGCTTATAAATACCTCATGGAGAGACAGACAATCAGCTGCAGTCACAGGGATGTTATGTTTGCCTCTCTTTTCTCACTTACCCTTTTCTTTTGCAAAAGCACTGTGGTGATGGGGTAGTCTGGGAGGTAGTAGACTCAGCTAGCATTGTATCTTTAGGAACAATACATACTCTAAAAAGTAGGTTATGTTTTAAAAAGGAATTCAAAAATTCCAGTACGTACACTCTGCTTGCAACAATGTGCCTGATAGTAGAGCATATCCAGAGAGGGCCACAAAAATGATCCAAAAGACAGAACACTTCTCCTACAAGACAGCATGAAAGAGCTGGGGCTGATGAGCCTGGAGAAGGCTCCAGGGAGACCTAATAGTGGCCTTTCACTGCATAAAGGTGAGCTGCAAGAAAGAGGAGGACAGACTCTTTAGCGGCGTCAGTTGTGACAGAACAAGGGGAAATGGTTTCAAGCTTAAAGAGGATAGATTTAGGTTGGATAGAAGGAAAAACTTTTACACAGTGAGGGTGGTGAAACACTGGAACATGTTACCCAGAAATGTGGTAGATGTCCCATTCCTGGAGACTTTCAAGGCGAAACTGGTTCAGGGCCTGGGCAACCTAATCTAGATGCGTATGCCCTGGTTCATTGCAGGGGAGTTGGACTGGATGACCTTTAAAGGTCCCTTCCAACTCTAAGGATTCTATAATTCTATACTTTGCCAGGCACAAAATTCTGCCTCCTTTCTGAGGACCTCAGCTGGCAATGGGGACTGTTCCTGTGCTCAAGGATCAGCTCTGTCATCAATTCACTGCCAATATGCCACCAATGGCTTCACTTCTCAAGATGATAACCACCCTGAAAAACTGTCTGTGACTGACTGTTGCTCACTGCCATCAGATTCCTGTGACAGTCCAAGAGTCTTCAACAGAATTTGTTAAACGCATTTTTGAAGTTCTACATCCAGACTTTTCTGAACGTTAATGAGGAATTACAATGAATTGAGGCAATACATTTCTGTGCCATCTGCTTTACATAAGATTCTCAGCCCAATTTGAAGATAGCTTTTAATTCTCCTATCTTTGAAAGAGTAAAGTTAGACTGTTTACTCTAGGAAGCAAGTTTCATACCTCTATTGATCTGGTATGCATTTTTAAGGGACCCAGCCTTTGAACCATCTATAGACTTACTCTGCCCTTCAGAAGAAATACCTAACTGTGGGGGGTATGAAGATGCATCAGGGATATACGAAGTTTTTCAGATACAGAAATCCCCGATGCAGTTTTGTGAGTCTTCTACTGGCCAATTAGAAATGGCAATTCAGATTTTCAACAACAGACCCAAATACAGAAGCAGGCATATCTCCAGTTATGTCCATGCTTCTATATGAATATGATGCCTGGGGCCATGGGCAACCAGGTCTAGTATTCAATGGCAAGGTTGGTGACCCTGGCGGGGGGGGTTGGAGATTTATGATTCTTGAGGTCCCTTCCCACCTGGGCCATTCTGTGATAACTGATGGAATGCTGGTTGGATCATCCTGGTCTGGGTCATAGCTGCCTAAGGAAACACAAACCCAGAAGAGCCTTCCTGATGTAATACTCTTGAAGAAATCAGGACACACAAGAATAAGGAATCAGAGGCTGGAGATTCCATCCATGCCTTTATCCAAAATTCTATCAAAAAACAATTGAAAATACATATTTCTTAATGGTAGAAATCTTGATACCATCAGGCTTATTTACTTTTGTGAGCTTATAAACTCTATGGTAATCTCATTATTTAATTTAGCATTGTTTTTTAGAGAGGTGATGTGCTAGAAAGTGTTTCAGCAGAGCCTCTGTATACCCCAACTATGGAAATAAACTATGGAAAAAAAAAAACCTACAGACAACTGAAGGAAAGAAAAGCTAACAAAGAGCTGGTTAATGCACAAAGCCAACACTTAAAATTATCTAGTTCCCTTAGATTTCAGGGTTTCTTTATAAGCCAGATTCAGAATATAAAAACCTCTCCTTCCTGCAGTGATTTTTATATGCCTCTCCAGAGGTGGGTGATGGGATGGACACATGATGAAGATAGATCCCCGTGGAAAGCAACAATAATGATGTGGCCATCAGATTTCTGGACTTGTAGAAACTTAGAGACCCAGAGACAGCAGCCATATAAGAATTAAGCCAGTCAGGACTCAAAAAGGGGAAACAAAAAAATTCACATAACTCTTTGCTGGAGCAGACTACTTCACTTTATTTTCATACCTGTCTGTAACTTAAACTCATTCTGATATTTTTGGGCCACTTTACTGTAACACTGCTTTTACATCCCATGAAGAAGGATACCTTGCAGGCTGAAAAAGCCATTCTACCAGGGAAATGATCTGTCCTGCATTTTGCTGATCACAGTGTACTTCCTTGCTTTTGTGTTGCATGTAATTCTCCAGTGAAACAGTGCTTAGACTCCTAAGAGTCCAATAATCTGCCAAGATGAAAACTTTAACTTAGAGTTTAGAGAACCACCAAGCTCGAACTAATCATCCTCAATAAACAGAAAAATACTGTGATATGAACAGTACCCACCCTGAGCCCAATAAACCTGTCTAAATACCGAGAGGTAAGAGGATAGCATCACCGAGACACTGACTACGTGTACCTGAGAATTTAGTGGCAGGATGATCAGTCTGCAGCTCAAGACTGCTCTACATCATGTGAGAAACAAACACTTTACAGCTTGTGTACTGTATACAAATACAATACAGCTTCTATATTAAACCATCAATTGATATCAATGGAACTGCAGTTAAACTTGCAAGACGCGTGGAAATCACGGAATCTCACCTGTTACACTGTGAAGCTATAGTCATACACATATTGATTTTCTAACAGTGATCATGCTGAGCTGTTAATCTCCTTGCCCATTACTTTTCATAATGTATCCCCTGTGGCTCCTGGGCACATGAAGACAGCAGAACATAGTGGTAAAAAATCAGGAATATTGGAGCCTGGAGTCAAAACAAGCAATGAGAGCTAGAGGAGAATGTGAGAGAAAGATAAGGTATCCTAAAGCATTCAATATCAGAATTTAATCCGTAGATTTGCGTTTTCCTGTTGATATTGATGAACTTAAGAACCTATGTAAAATGCTGCTAATTTTCAGAGATTAATACACTGGCTCTTATTTATAGCTTAATAGTCTATTGATTGGTGGTGGACTTCCAAAGGCTAAAACAAAACAAAATACCGTCCCAAAATAAATAAAAAAATAAACAAAATATTAAAAAAAGAATACTATCTACCCAGAGGGGTCTACCATCAGATCCATAAGTTACAATGGGCAAAGCTGCTATTAACCAATTGGGTAAGATAGGGCTTGCCGTCTTTGCGGTACAAGAGGGAATCTTCCATCCCAAGTAAGCAAGCTACTTCTCTGATTCAATTGTTTCTCTCCATTTTTCACCTCAGACATATTTGAACTGAAATATCTCCAGCCTTCCTTCTCAACAGCTGCAAATTAACTGCAATGATCCCAGCACACTATGCAACAGGTGGCTTGGCGCCTCACTCTGCAATGGGGTACTGCAAAGGAAGGAATGCAGCAGTGAATCCTGGTGCTTGCAAGTGCTCTCAGATTTACAGTCATGTAGGAAGTAATGGGGTGAAACCAAGTATGCCATTTAACAGAAGAAAAGAACATGAGAGAGGAATATAGCTTCCCCTGGGTGTGCTTGCACTCTGAGATGGAAGCCATCAGAAGGAAACATCCTACTGAACTGTAGAATTGTTCACAAACATAACAGAGTGATGGTCATTGTGGTACTTTCTCCTCTGAGAGGGGCAATACTAACATCAAACTAGTGTCAAGTTTCTGAATGAATTATATAGGCAGAATTATATTCTGCCTATGACAAATATTAACCTTTAGACAACACATTACTTACAATAAAGTAATTATTGTACTTCAGTTCTAAAAGCAAAGCAGGCTTTGCTTATCACAATTTTTTGCCCATTGTAAAACCGGAGCTACTAAGTCCTGAGGTGTTATAAAATTCCAAGAGGTTTTATGAAAATCCCAACCTGCTTGGATTTCCCAGAGTAGTATTTCCAGGGACAAGAGCACAAGGGCTAGAGGCACTTCCACAGTGCAGAATCAGGACAAGTTCTGCAAGCTTAGTCTTGTCTGGGGTAAAGAGGCTGTGGGAGTGGAAGGTATGGGGCTCGTAGGAGTAGAATGAGATGACTTGTCCAGAAGTGCTTATCCAATCCTACATACCACCATGCACACATTCTGTTAATAGATAGCTCAGGTCTGGTGTTGTGCTGGAGTTAATCAGTCCTTCAAACACCAGAAAGCATAATGCAGGTGTGAGGCTGGGTATGTCTACAACTCATTCCTCGGTGAACCACATACTAGCATTATCCAAGGTGTTTAGAATTTGAGCATGAAATGACACAAACAAAAGCTAAATAACCATAAAAACATTTTCAATTGCACTCCAAGTAGCTGATCAGCATGGAAAGCAAGTCTGTGCATCCAGAACAAGTGACACTGGATCATGAAAATTTTTGTAGTTCACAAGTAAGAAACTGAAAGATAATTCTCATCTCTCCTCAGCATCCCATACCTGGATCCAAAAAGAACCTCAAGTTTAAGACACA